ACCAGGAATCATGGCCTAGCCAAACAGATAACACACATTTTTGGGGGGACATAATTCAGACCATGACAGTAATCATCAGAGTGAGATAGTGTTATGGATTGAATTGTGTCCGCCCAAAATATGTGTTGTAAATCCTAACCCCTGTACTTGTGGTTATAATCACGTTTTTCAGTGGGTTTTCTTTGTTATGTCAATGAGGCAGTAGTAGTGTAGGGTGTGTTTCAGGGCAGTCTCTTTTGAGATATAAAAGCAGGTTAAGCAAGCGGCAACACAAGCAAGCATAGATGGGGGAAGATAGATGCCACACCACTTGAGATCTCCAAGGAACTGAGAAGCAGAAGCTGAGAAGAGACAAAGACCTTCCCCCAGATCCCACAGAGAAAGAAAGCCTTCCCCTGGAGCCAATGCCCTGAATTCGGATTTGTAGCCTCCTAAACTGAGAAAATAAATTTCTGTTTGATGAAGCGACCCATTTGTGGTATTTCTGCTATAGCAGCCCTAGATAACTAAGGCCAAAACCTGTTGCCATCGAGTCGATTCTGACTCCTAGCGACCCTATAGGACAAAGTAGAACTGCCCCATAGAGTTTCCAAGGAGCACCTGGTGGATTTGAACCACTGACTTTTTGGTTAGCAGCCATAGCTCTTAAGCACTACGCCACCAGAGTTTCTAATAACTAAGGCAGATAGTGGTTTTTTTTTTTTTTTTAAATTCATTATTTTAGGAATCTGTGAAACTAGTTATTTCTTCACCTGTTAGTCATTTAAAAGTCACAGTGAATGTATTTTAGAATCACAATAAAATATAACAACCCTCTCTCAGGGAAAATTCTTAACCAGTCTCAGTCCTCCAAAACAGGAGAGTCTGTCGTGCAACTCAAGGACCAAATGAGGTTCACTTGAGACTTAGCAAAAACTTAATTTGTGAGCACACATGAATACTAGTAGGGGAAAACCACCTGTCGCCAGTAAGAAATGAAGAGTCTGAAGTAAACCCGGAAAAACTGAGTTCAGTTGCCACAGAAGGTTCTCTTCTGTGGCAGGAGAGAAGCGTCTCAGTGGTTTTTAGTTTTTTAGGTCAAAAGAAAAGTATGGTGTTTCTGTCTTCTGGACTTTTGTGGTGTGTGCTTCACAACTTAGTTTAATTTTATGATGTGATAAAAGCAATTAGCAAAGATTGTGAATTTTCTTAAATGCTTGTAAGTTTAACCATTTCTAGTTTATGGAGGATTGAAAGAAGTTGAACCAGGTTATGGAGACTCAGTAGTCAGTAGCTGTCAGGATTGGCAAGGCTGTCGAAATTGTTACAGATATGCTGAGCTGCTACAAGATGTGCTTCCCTTCCGGCCTCTCTACTTCCCTTCCCGCCTCTCTACTTCCCTTCCCAAACACTACTCGTGCCCTGGGGTTACAGTGGTGAACTAGGTGATTATAGATCCCTTCTCACATGGAGCTTGTATTCTAGTAGGCTAAACAGACAATAGATATGTAAACAAAGAAACAAGGTGAGTGCAAAGAAGAAAATAAGACAGTGTAGTATAAGAAAAAGCTACCAGAATGGCAGGCAGCTGCTTTATAATGAGTGGTCAGGGAAGGCCTCTGAGGGAGTGAGCATTTGAGTTAACCTGAAGGACAAGAAGCAGCCAGCCATGTGAAGTTCTCAGGTAAGACTGTTTCAGGCAGAAGGATGAACATGTGCCAAGGACATCTGGCAGGAGTAGCTTTGGCACAGAAAGTAGCTGCAAAGGTAGTCAGAGGCCAGAGCACGTGGGGTTTTGAGGGCTGTGGACTTTATCCTAAGTGAGATGGGAAGCCACTGTAAAGTTTAAGCAGGGAAGAATATTTTTTTAAGCTTACTTTGGCTGTTATAAAGGGAATACACTGGATATACTGGGATGAGGGCAGGAGATGAAGCAGGGAGACCCAATTAGAAAGCTTATTATTTTAGTCTGAATTTGAGATGGTAGTGGTTTGTATACACTCCATGAGGGGCAGACTTTTTGTTTACAGGCAGTCCCCGGGTTACGAACAGGATCTGTTTCTCAGTGTGTCTTTAAGAACTGTAGGTAAGTCAGAACGGGCATACGGTTCTTATTTAGCCTTACTTTAGTGCCAGAAAACGCTCAAAACCTTTTCAGTGATTTAAAAGCTGCACTTGCAGCAGGTGAAGGTGGTTGTGATGAAGAATTTTTTGCCAGTAGGCTTTGGTTCAGTCATTTCAAAGTGAGGGCAAATTTACATAACATTAAAGGGCAAGTACTAGGAGTTGTCTGTAAGTCAAGCTGGCAGTCCGTAACCCGAGGACTGCCTGTATTTTGTTTCCTGTGTTAGTGGCTCCTGAAATAGTGCTGGTGCATTTAGAAACCAAACCAGTCGCCATCGAGTCAGTTCTGACTCTTGGTGACACCACACATTGCCAGAGTAGAGCTGTGCTCCATAGGGCTTTCAATGGCTGTGACCTTTCGGAAGCAGATCACCAGGCCCTTCTTTCGAGGCACCTCCGGGTAGATTAGAACTGTCAACCTTTCAGTTAGTAGTGTAGCACTTAAACATGTGTGCCACCTAGGAACTCCTGCTGGTGTGTTTAATAAATATTTGTTGAATTAAAGATTGATGGCAGTTGAAATGGAGAGAAGTAAGTGGACCCAGGATTTATTTTTGAAGCACACCCAACAGGACTTCCTGGAGGAGTGAATGTAGGGTATAAGGGAAAGGAAGGAATCAGGAATAACTTCTAGGTTTTGGTTTAAGCAGTTGAGTAGGTATGAGTACCATTAGTGGAGATGAAGAAGTCTTAGAGAATAGCAGGTTTCAGGGGAGAAATCACTAGTTGTCTTTTGGACAATTATAACTGATATTCTATTAAATATTCACATGGAGATGTCAAGTAGATAGGTGAGTAGTTGAGTCTACAACTCAACTTATGAGTATAAATTATGCTGTCATCAGCTTATAGATTACACATAGACATCTGAATACAGAGAATTTAAAAGTACAGGGGGAGAAAAACAAGCATTGCTGATTTTGTTTAAGGAAATGCAAATTTTTGAGGTTCAAATTGGACAGGAAAATTGACTAAATGACAACGGGAGACTATACCCATTTCTTATTGCTGAAGTGTCATGGATTCAATGGAATGAAATTTGTCTTTCATTCAGCTGATATTTGAGTGCCAGATAGGGTGACCAACCATCCCAGGTTGACATATCCCAGAAAACCCCTCTGTCCTGGGCAAACCAGATGATTGCTCACCCCACTGCTAGGTAATGAGCCAGACTGAGACTTGCAGAAAGTATTTGAAGCATATGGAATCACAATTTCAGAAAAGATTAACATATTTTGATAAGACTAAGTTGTACTTAAAGGTTCTGACTAGCTTTGGAGCTGAAACTTCAGGACTTGTCTAATTGAACTTTTCTGGTACAGACACTTAGGCCACAATCATATATTCTTTTAGGACTGATCCTGAAGAGATGGGAAGGGAGGGAACAAGGAATGAGCAGCACCTCTCCTTTACAGGGCTCTCTCTAAAGTGTGAACTAAGATCCAGATCCAGATACCTGTCGTGCTGTTTTTCCATCTCTGTCCATGGTGTCTGCCTTTCTCAGTGCTGCTGCACTAACAGTATGGGGTCAAAACCTTCCATATTTGGTTTTATATCAGATGGCTGGTTTCCTTTCCCAGACTTCATCATTGATATGAGGTGGTCCCTTTCTACTGTTCCTTTCTGAGTCATTGTGTTCCAGTTTGTGCCAACCATTATGTGTATAATCATGAGAAATCTAGAGATGTTTTCTTTGTGTTCATCTCTTCCAGCTACTTACGCAAGCTTGTGGTTTTTGGTTTCTGTTCAGTCTAAGATGGAGCCAGTCATCATATAATGATTAGGTCATGGCAGTTTGAATTCCTGCTCTGCCGATTATTCTATAGCGTAGGCAGGTTATTTAACTTCTCTGAGCCTTGCTATCTTCATGTACATAGTGGAGGTATCGGTTTTGTAGGGCTACTGTAATGAAATACCACAAACTGGGTGACTTCAAAGGACAGAAGTTTTATTTTCTCAAAGTTCTGGAGGCTAGAGGTCAGAATTTAGGGTGTCAGCCGGACCATGCTCTCTCTGGAAGTTCTAGGAGAAGATCCTTTCTTGTCTTTCCCAACTTGTGGTAACTTCGGTGTTCCTTGCTTTGTGGCAGCGTGATTCGAGTCTCTATTTTTGCGTTTACGTGGGTGTCTTCTCTCTGTATGTCTCTCTGTGCCTCTTCTCCTCTTAAAGGACGCCACTAACATTCTATTAGGACCCCCCCTACTCCAGTGTGACCTTATCTTCAAAGGCTCTATTTCCAAACAAGGTGACTTTCACAGGTACCAGGGGTTAGGACTTCAGGGTATCTTTTTGGAGGACACAGCTCAATCCATAACAGGGGATAAATGTAATCCTACCATTCAGGATGATGGCATTACTTCAGATGATATCTATAACATGTTTAGCACAATAACCTAGAACACATAAATACACAATAAATGATAGTAGTTTTTGTTACCACTGTTGTCGTTAAGTGCCGTCGAATTGATTTCGACTCATAGTGATCCCGTGTGACAGAGTAGAACTACCCCATAGGGTTTCCTAGGCTTTACAGAAGCAAATCTCCAGGTCTTCTTCCTGTGGAGCCGTTGGGTGGGTTTGAACCGCTGTTAGCAGCCGAGTGCTTAACCACTGCGCCTCCAGGGCTCCTATTATGGATAATATATGACTCCTGTATATGACTTTCTGGTCTTTTCCAGCTTCTTTAGAAGAACCCATATGAGATTGAGTTTCATGTCATTATTGAGTAATGTCTTGGCGAGATGATCCGACTAGATCTGCCACCACCAGGGAAATAAAGGTCATTCTCAATTGTGGAGTTTAGTTTAGGTGTTCACAATTTACAAGTCTGTCTACTGCATGGTGTTACTACCTGTTCATCTCATTCACAGCTGATGGAATTACTGTTGTAGCACAGTTGCTTCTCAACACCTTTGAAACTTGGCTGAATTAGTTTTCATTTCACCTTTTTTTTTTTTTTTTTTAGTAATTTGCTGACTGTTTTTACATTGTGAGTTTTGTTGTAATAATTATCTTAAAGTGCTCTCATCATTTTATAGGTGTTAGTCACAACTTTGAGAATTGTTTTGTGTTTGTTTTGCTTTGTTTGTACCACCTTTGTATTACTGTTATCAATAGCAGCTTATATATTCTGTTATCTTGGAAAAATCAATGAACCTCTTACATAGACTTCTAATCATGTAGCTGTTCTTTAAAGAGTTGGATTTAGAAGATTCGAAGGTTATTATTTAACTTCTGATTGCTTTTATGTTACCCCTGATCCTTTTAAATGGCTGTATCCCTAATATCATTATTATGTCATAGAAAACAGTAGTGTTGTATACTATTGCAGAAAAGAATGTGTATTTTTGCAACTCTTAGGAGGCTTTCTGACTTATTCCTAAAAGATAAAATATTTTTCTAAGATCCTTTGAAACATATTAAAGAAGTTAAGTATTACATGCTAATAAGACACATTTTCTCTATTTTTTGGTATATGTATAGTCAGTATTTACTTTTGTGTAAAAAGATTACATTAATCATAAGAAAACCAAATGACTATTAAAATGTGATGTATTCTGTACTATTGGGTTTATTATATATATTAGAATTACTTGTTAGTGTAAAGGAAAAGTTCAGTTTTTTTTCTAATTTTATAATCCCAGGGAGAAACACATCTTATCTTTCCTAAAAAAGCATCAGTGGAGCAGCTGCAAAAAATTCGTGACCTGATTGCCATAGAGAGAAGTAGCAGATTGGATGGATCAAATAAAAGCCACAAAGTAGAATTATCTCAGCAACCTGCAGCCAGTACCCAGCTTCCTACAACACAGTCTCCAAGTCCTGTCGGGCTAACGCAGCACCCAGGGAACGGTCAAGGGCAGCCATCAACTCCACTGTCTGCTCCAACGGTAATGTTAGAGTTAAGCCTTCCTGAACTGTTTGTCTCAATGTGTTGAAACAGCAAAAGCTTCGGGACATGTTATCATTTACTCCTAAATTTATACTCCAGTTATTCTTCCTTCTTAAAATTCTGCACATCTAAACTTCCTCAGCTATTTAAAAAAAAATTGGCAAATTTGTAACTAAGGTGGAAAAGATGGCATTCTTTTATTTATACTTTTAAATCTTAACTTGTTGCCTGTTGTTTCTAAGGCAATCTAAGTTTTGTTTAATTTATCATTTATAAATGTGCCTATTGCCTTGTACTTAAATCATTTATACAAATCAGCATATGCCTTTAGCCTTAAAGTAATGGACTTGCCGGACAGTGGTATGGCTACCAAATTAGTAGATTTCCTCTACTATGACATTTCTAAAATTTACCTGCTGCCATCCACTATGAGGCTTATTAATTCTAGCCACCTAACTATTATCAGCACTTCAGTTCAGTGAAAACCAGCAAGTTAGTCAAGTTTAGTTAATAGCATACACTGACATATACTTCTGAAGAACTGAAATCAGACTTCTGATGTCTGACAGTCATTTTTGGTACAGCTAAATGATCCTAGTTAGTAGGAAATTATCCTGTTCACAAAAGCCCCTTTTGAGTAGAGGTCCTGAAAGATTCTTCCCCTAAATTCTCAGCATCAGAAAAATATTTGTGTTTGTTGTATAGTCATTTTATCAGTAGCTGGCTTAAATTCACATCCCCTCTTATTTTGATTTCAATGAAACAGCTTGTGACTGTCCTCCATGTAGCAGAACTTTATATATAGTCAGTTATTAAATCCACTCTTCATCATCTCCAGCTGAATAATTCCAGCACCTTTAACATTGTCTGCCGATAATGGTGAGTCACATGACTGGCAATCATTCCTTTATCTAGGCTGGGAAGGCGCCAAGTTTGTCCTTGAAAAATAAAGAATAAAGGTGGTAGGGGCTGGCAGGGTAAGAAACAGAGTTCCTTCCTTTTATACAATTCTTGTCCAGTGGTTTCCAAACCTTTTTATGTTTTTGTATGTGAGATTAACTCCTCTAACATACTCCCTTTTGCCTCAGTTGACTTAAGCTAATATTTAAGTCTTTAAATATTTTTTTCTTTTTATTTTTTTATGGTACTTTAGATGAAGGTTTACAGAACAAATAGTTTCTCATTAAACAGTTAGTAAACATATTGTTTTGTGACAGCGGTTAACAAACCCACGACACGTCAACACTGCCCTTCTCAACCTTGAGTTCCTTATTACCAGCTTTCCTGTCCTTCTAGTCCTTGTCCCTGGACTGTTGTGCCCCATTAGTCTTGTTTTATCGGGCTGTCTAATCTTTGGCTGAACAGTGAACCTCGGGAGTGACTTCATTACTGAGCTAAAAGGGTGTCCAGGGACCATACTCTCAGAGTTTCTCCAGTCTCTGCTAGGCAAGTAAGTCTGTTTTTTTTTTGTGAATTAGAATTTTGTTCTACATTTTTCTCCAGCTCTGCCCAGGAACCTCTGTTGTGATCCCTGTCAGAGCAGGCAGTGGTGGTAGCCAGTCACCATCTAGTTGTACTGGACTCAGTCTGGTGGAGGCAGTGTAGCTGTGGTCCATTAGTCCTTTGGACTAATCTTTCCCTTGTATCCTGTTCTCTTCATTCTCCCTTGCTCCCGAAGTGGTGAGATCAGTGGAGTATCTTAGATGGATGCTCACAGGCTTTTTAAGACCCCAGGCGCTACTCACCAAGGTAGAATGTAGAACGTTTTCTTTATAAACTGTGTTATGCCGGTTGAGCTAGATGTTCCCCGAGACCATGGTCCCCACAGCCCTCCACCCAGCAATTCAGTCCCTCAGGGAGTTTGGATGTGTCTGTGGAACTTCCATAACCTTTCCTTGTATAAGCTGTGCTGGCTTCCCCAGTACTGTGTACTGTCTTACCCTTCACCAAGGTTACCACTTATTTATTGTCTTATTTAGTGTTGTTGCATGCCCACCCCTCCCCTCCCTTATAACCAACAAAGATTGTTTCTTTCTGTGTGAAAACTTTTTCTTGAGTTTTTACAGTAGCAGTCTCATACAATATTTGTCCTTTTAAGTCTTTAAATATTTTTTATCTCGTTAGCTTCACAGCTATTTTATGACAAATACATCTAGTGTTTGTTATTGCTTCTGAGAAACTGTTAATTGTATATTATTAAATCAACTATGAATGATACTAATTGATTATGTACATCAGATGAAATAGCATATATGAAAGTTTTGCAAACTGTAAGAGACTTTACAGTTTTGCCCTTAGTAAAATAATTTTTCTGCAAATTATCTGGACTGTTCATTCAGTACGAAGTTGTCATAGAGTCACAGATAAACGGGACTAGTTCTCTCTAGTCATTCCATTCCTTAGAGCATTGGCTTCCACTGTTTTTTGGTTGCACATCTTGTCGGTAATAAAATGTGAGTACATATCTCAATAGATGTCTACTTATTTATAAATTATATACTTCTATATTAATATAATATGTACCTTATATAACAATCACAGAAAAATTAAAGGGTAAAGTAAATCTAAGTAGCACCCCAGTGGATTCTTTTGTGCACCTCCCTGGAAGCATGTGCACCCCACCTTGGAATGCCTTAGGTCTTCATCAGTTTTACAGTTAAGATGGATACAGAAGTGTAGTTAACATCTGGCTGGGTTTTTAATACCTTTTCTTATGGGTTTTCTAATTACAGTGTTAGAATACATCTTCTGAGATTTCCCGCTTTATCTTCTGTTGAATCTCTGTATTAATAGTTTAAAACACACAATACCAACCAGTCTTACAAAATGCATATAATGCACGAAAACATTTTGTTTTATAAAATAACCTCCTTTCTGAACTAAGCAAGTAGTACCTTGTTAGTTTTCTGACTCAGGAAATCCATTCACATTCTCTGTGCATCTTCAGCTTCCTTCCTTTTTTGATTCCCTAACCTTGCAATTCAGTATAGTTTGGGGTCTTTGAAACCCTGTCAATCACCAAAAGCCTCTGGACATGCCATTAGAAACAAAGTGCCATTCTGTTGCCAAAACAAATTTAGAGTTCAGAAGAAAATAAACTTTTTTAAAGACTTAAGCTCTTAATAGGCTCATCTATATATTGATTCCGACTCATAGCAGCCTTCTAGGACAGAGTAGAACTGCCCCATAGGGTCTCCAAGGAGCAGCTGGTGGATTCAAACTGTCAACCTTTTGATTAACCACCTGAGCTTTTAACCACTCCACCACCAGGGCTCCAATATTATCAACTTCTATTACTCTAGTCCTTGAGACAAACTCTTTTTCAGTATTCCTTAAGGGAGTTGGGAGAGATTAGAATGAACCTTTTTTTTTTCTTTTTTTTTTTTTAATATAGCCAACTCTTGATTATCCATGGATCACTTGAATGCACATATTTTTTAAATGATTTTAAGTTTTCATCACCACTAGTTGCTATAATATAGTATTTAACAATTACTTCCTCTGACTTGCACATTTTCAGTGGGAATACTAATTGAAAATTAGAATGCACCAAAGTCAGGCAGCAAGAGAGATTAAAAAAAAAAAAAATTTAACCTGTATATAAACTGTGTAAATCCTGAATACTAGTGAGCTTTATTTGTGTCAATAATTATATTCCTTTGGTTTAGAACTGTAAGACAAGGTGGTAGTCACTGATGTTGAAATTTTCCCATGAGCTTTTTCTTCAAGGTATATTGTACTGGAATATATTGGTATTCAATAAATGATGGTGGTGATTGTTAGAAAGTTATTTTGGGAAGCTTTCTGTTCTATTCAGTCTGCAGAATTTAATCATGTATCTAAAGGAATATCAGGCTTGTAATAATGACATTAAAAATGAAATTAATTCAACCAAGGATACTCTGCCATTTTGGTATCTCTGTGTCTGTTTTTGACCTCTAGAGGAGTATTTGTTAAAAAGTGGGGGCTTCCTCTCCAAGTCCTGTCTGGCTGTTAAAAGCATGTCAGAATCTTAGTACAGTTTTTAACTATTCTCTCCACTGTGGGCCATGTGGGTTATTTCCTCATTATATGTTGACTGAGCTAAAAAAATTAAATCCTCATGATCTATCAGTTAAATGAGAGATTTGTTATTTTATCATTTTAATAAAGAGATCTTGTAGGCCACGCGAGTGAAGCAAGAAAATGAAATCATAAGCTATTATTTCCCTTCTGGCATTACAGTGGTTGTGACTAGTTTGGGTCAGTCCAAGCACATGAGAGAGTTGCTTCTCCAATCCGTAGCAATTCAGAAGTTAGGTAGACTTGACGGGAACGTACGTTTTATGTTGGCTACGACCATTGCATCATTGATATTACAGAGGGTGGGATATGGGAGGCCTTAAGGAGGAATCAAAGCAAGCACAGAAAGGTCTAAGAGAGTCAAGCATTCCTGAAATACCTCTCTAATATCTCAGTTTTAAAATTATTTTTTATTTTTATCAAAAGTTACACAGGTTTAAGTCTCACACCGCATGCCTTTTATGGGTCTGCTGAGGGCTGTCTTCTGGGTCATCCTCACTTCAGGACCCATGCTGACAGAGTTCCTTCCACTTGAAACTTTGCTGGTCACTGTGGTGAATAGCATATTAGCTCTTAAAGTTTCTGCCTAGAAATAACCTATGTCACTTGTGTTTACGTTTCACTGGCCAAAGTGTCGTCACATCATCCTTCAAAGGGGCAAGGAAGTGTAATCCTACCATGGGCCTGTGAGGTCCTCAGAAACACTTGGGGGACAGCACACGTGACTACCACTGCATTCTGGGAGCTGAATGGGAGAAGCGGCTGGGGTGGGGGGATCTCAAATACAGTGTCTAAACTTTCCTTTTTTGGTACCAGGTCCTTGCCTTCAGCTGTGTTTGATGTCCTCCCTTCACAGGCTCCTTGTGTTATTGTCTTGAATAAGGAACTTCCCTTCCTCTGATGAGTGGGAAGGGGACAATCAGCCAGCTGTGCAGA